CCCGGCCTCCCCCTACCCTTCTCTATCATTAGCGGTTGCAATTACATCAGCAGATTCGGCACATTCGCGATAGAAAAGCGGCAGTTTCACGTTATGGTATTACAACTGTAAAATTACAAACAAAAAATACACATTCTGAGACATGAACTGAAATGAATTGTGAATTTTATTAGCATTAAATCCTATTAAATCCTAATCCTCCTCCCATTTTCACCTCAAAATTATGGGGAAGCTGTGCCTCCCCTGACGAGCCGCCACTGCAATTGGGACTGTGCCATCAGCAGCCATCAGACTTGACATGATGCCATTTTTCTGCAGCTTTAATCAATCTAACATACAATTTTCACTTCGTGGATGAAAAAATAATAATAACAAATACTCAAGAAAGCTGAATATCTTATAGATTGATGGTGGACTCTATTGACTTGGGCCATCAAACAACCCCCTAGCAACTGCCTAGAACACCCTAGCAACCACATTACAATGTGCCAAAAACATCCCAAATATCATAGCAACCACTGTCCTGGTGCCAAACAAAACTAGTTTTGTATGTAAAAATCTAATTTTAAAAGCTCTATTCTCGTCAATCTCAGACCACTGCAGGCAGAGCGGAGTTGTTCTATGGTGGGCACACAAGTGCATTCTGGGAAAATGCTACTCATCACCTCTGAGGCGTTCTCACCCACTTCCTTTTATCAACAGAAAGTGCTGTCGCTTCCTCTGTCGAGGAAGTCTGCGGCTGCGAACTGGCGCACAACAATAACAACTAAAATTACAGCATCAGAATTTACAGAATGTAACTGTATATTTCACTTAGAACTACACTCTGGACTATAACTGGATCATAAATAATTTCTTGGCAGGACTGGGCAGTGGGTAGTTGATATTCTGACCCACTTCCTGTCTTGGTATTGATTCAATTAGTGATTTAGAGCAGAAGGCAGATGCATGCTGGTCTGGACGGTCAAAAAGCACAACTAATTTGATTTTATGGCTTTCAATTTCTAAAGGTTCCCTCAAAATGGATTTGGCCCTGTGTGTGTGTGCGCGCTCCACAAATAATGCATCAAATGATGGGGCAATCTGCTTTGGGTAATTCTGGATGTTTTGTAACATTAACCATCATTGCTGGCACACACCTCACCTAGATTATCTTGACCAAGATATCACTAATCATGCTGACATACGATTGGCAGATCCTCTTTTCACAACACTAGACTTTGGCAATGACACATATATATTTTTTTGGCTTAAACTGTGAAATATGAATAACTACAGATTAACAGAATAAAAACATAATAACAGACTTATTCAAAGTAACTGCACACTGAACTGCAAACTGACACCAAATGCATTTTAGCTCTGGGAACCAAAAGCATTGCACCAAATGTCTCATATAGTGCAGCAGTCGAGTTCCAGAAGTAAAAATCCCATTCATTTTCTCCATAGGGGAATTGATTTTAACTTTAAAACCTTTTAAGATAGAACTACCTGACCTAGATAGACCTACTAACGCCATCAGCCTGCATTATTTCAACCTATTTTTAAATAATTGTGTTTAACAGAGTTTTTTTTTTAAATTCGATGTCACTCGTAATGCTTCATGGGATTGCATTTCTTTCCCTCAAAGCCATTAAGTACACAGTCTTGCACTTTTGTCTGACTTTAAAATACTTTTTGCTTCAAATCAAAGTTTCAAATGTTGTGATTCACCTTGTAGCTGGCTGGTTTGGTTTATGGCTTATAACTCTTTAGAGAAGCCCTATGGGAAAAATGAATGGGAAGTTAAGGCCCGTCCACCAGGGTTGCCAGGTCTGCAAAACAAAACCAGCCCAATTGCGATTTTTCCATGTTTTTCTCCTCCTTCGTGGGTCCGCTCCATCGAAATCTGAATTCTGATTGGCTGTCATTGTTTTGTCATTCATTTGCTAGAAATAAAAATCCTTCTGAAAGTGATTCCAAAGATATTGTTCCTCTGTATCGTTATCATTATAATTGTGGTGTGGACTCTAAATTTAGAATGATTTTTACAAGTAAAAATCTTTGTCGTTATAGTTATCGTCCTTGGTGTGAATAGGCCTTTAGACAGGAAAAGACTGTCTGATTGATATCTAAAACATCCAACCAGAGGTTGTTTTGTTTTTATGTGCCATTTAAGGGCCGGTAAACCTGAAAATTTAGTTGATACCACAATAATATACCATCAAAAAATAAATAAATTAAAAATATGGCACACTGTTCTCTGCAAAACACCAATAAAATTAGTCTAGACCTTGAATGAACAAATATTTGTATAAATTCTACTCACCCTCCTCATTTTCACTATATAAATGACTCCAATGTCCCATTTTTCAAACTCACCCATATTTGCAGTTTGACTCGTTTCTCATTGCGGTAAACAGTTTTGACTTTGAAGTCGATGCCGACCGTGCTGACGAACGCAGAGGTGAAGGAGTCGTCAGCGTAACGGAACAGAAAACTAGTTTTTCCAACGCTGCTGTTGCCAATGATGAGGAGCTTGAACATGTAGTCAAAATTCTGATCGGCTACATCCTTCTGCACCTGCGTCTGATGACGGGTATCATTGGCCGACGCCATCTAGAGGGGTGGAGGGAAAGTGGAAATATAAGACAGACAATCATATAGACACCATTTACAATGAAAGTAAATAATGAAGGTTGTCAGAAAGAAGAAAACACCATCATAGGTCGGGCCCTGAGGATGCTATGGCCCTTTTGCCGATTTAGCTGAAGCCCTGTTGATACACTTGATCACTCATATGTAGTTTAAGTATTCTTCCAGCACTATCATCTAGCTACCTTTCTTTCTTTGTACATCAGACATGCTGAGTGAGGACCTTTCCTTGATTAAAGGCCATTACAGCAGAGACCAGCTCAGCACAATTCAATCTGGCCATAAAAACAGTACTTAAAAAGTGGGAAGCGCATTATGAGAATAGTTTAAGGAAGAGTTCACAAAAAACACTGTATTACTCCATTTGTATTTTAGATACTATTTTGTATTTTAGAAGCTATTTTAGTATTATATACTACTAGTATTAATATTTTCAATTAGCTTTCATTTTTATATTTTTGTTTTCATTTGAATTTTAGTGTTTTAGTCATTTTGTTATGTGCTTTTGTCATTTTTATTAATTTTTAAAAAAATATTAAATAATTTTTTTATTGATCTATAATTCACATTCATTTCAGTTTGTGTTTTAGTACTTTTATTTCAATTTCAGTTAGTAAGTTTAAGTTTTTGATTATTTATTTCAGCTTTATTTCAATTTCAATTTTTGATTATTTCAATTTTATTTCAATTTCTGTGAAAAACGACTTAAATCCCAGTCTGATCATCACACAAGCTATAGTATGACTTTAAAGACTTGAAATACAGCTCATAAGTAATTCGGATTACTATTATAGTCTATTTTATGGCCCTTTTTCGAGACTGATAGACATAGACTCTGTGAAATATTGTTCAATGGAAAAGTGCAGCATTAAGACTCTTCGAAAAGTCTTCATTTAAGAAAAACCCTCTAATAACATGTGACTATTTAAACTAAACAAGTACTAACATCCTGCTGAAGCATATGAGAAAGAGCTGATCACATCAACACCTGTACCTGAAGAGGGAGTTACCAGGATATGACACACCTTATAACCTATGATTCAACACAATGCGGTTGTGCCACAGTGACTCTATATATGCAATTTTAAATAAAATGATAAGGGATCCCTTTTGCACAGGCAAAGAATAAGATGAGATGACAGGTTACATTTGATCTGATGCTGGTCGACCCAAACAGCAGCACACACCCTGAACTGTGAAATCTACAGATCTGTCAAACACAATATCAGCTTACATTAGCATGTCAAACACACTCAGAAAATATACATTTGAGCATGTCATCAATAGCTGAATTTTGGGGTTGAAAGGTAAATTAATAGGCAACTGAAAGGGTTCTAATCGTGCTTCCATATGGACATCTTCCTTACAACTCTCTCCACTGTAAGCGCCTAAAGATAAATGCGTATCCGTCGGGCACAAACAGAACAGGGTGACTAACCTTATCCGGCTCTTCTTAGAGGTGGTTATTTTATTCTATGCACTTGATGTTGCGCTTTTCCTCAGCTGGTTTCGGACATCCAGTCCTCGCAGATGCAGTTTCACTTTTCCCGCAAAACACACTGGAAAGGGTCCACTCGCCTTATCGGCTTAAAAACTGACCATTCCCTTCCCTAAAGAGGGGCGTTGCAAAGTCAGACGCTTGATGACTGCAGCGACCTGGCTGTCGACCATTTATTTGTGCTGAAACTGCGCTGGCTGTTTCCAGATCAGCCAGCGGCCCTGGCGAGCTTCCAGCCCGCACTCACGGAGCAACCAATCAACAGGTCCCCTGTCAGCCACACAGCATTAGCTTCTGCTATTTACATACGGGTCATTCTGTGAAACGAGTTCCATTAGCGTTTTCAAATGGTGATAAAAAACACAAAAACAAAAGAGTAACAAGATCGACAATTTTACAATTTAATTATACAAGCTTTTCGGCCAATGGCAAGAATCTAAACCGTGCCTTTTTATAAGAAAGAGAATTTAAAGCTGATATTTCTACAAATATTTACCAGTTAATCAGTATATATATATATATATATATATATATATATATAGTTTATATAATATATAAATATA